TATAAAAAATGTAGTATGCCAATTTAGCTATTAACTCTAATTTATAGTAATGAATAATTGTCCAGAAAAATTCTATACTCTATTTTCATGGCAAGTAATTCAAATATTGTATATGCTATTGGTAAAACTACACTGAGAGGTAAAACTAAACTTCCACTTAATACATATCAGTGGTACAAAAAGAAAATAAAAATGTATTTATCCTAAGTTTATTAAAGGTAGTCCATATTATTAGTACATAACCTTAATTATATTTGTTTATGTCACATAGATTATGAAAATTCTACAAAAATCAACTTTCATGTTCAGTTTTAAAGCTTGCAAAAAAGAAATTAACAAAATAACTCTGGGACTAGAGGAGTAGAACACTTGCCTAGCATGTATAAAGCCCTAGGTTTATCCCCAGTGGCAGAAAAAATTGTGGTTGTTAGTATATTAATTTTGTGTGCATAACCTCAGACATTCACTTATTAAGAATTTTATGCTAATTACTTCAATAGCTTAAAAACAACTATTTTTGGTGAAGGGGAGCTGAAAAGTTAATTGTTTTGTAGGGGAAAAAGGTCCCAGGAGATCAAAAAATTCTGACAAAGTGGCTATCACTTTTATCGTCTTAGAAAAAAATCTAGATGTTAGCTTTTGCTAGCAGTTATGACTCCCTTGAGAACCAAGCATGTTGGGTGGATGTGAACTTCACAGGTTAACAAAATTGGCTTTCACATTCAGTTTTCCTCTTGATACTTAAAAAAAAAAAAAAAGAACATACCCAAATTGGATTATTTAATCATCTGTACCAAAACTCCAAATTATCATATCTCCCAGTAATTTAATTTCTTGAGTGCTGATGGCCAATAATTTCATTACAGAGTTAGTGTGAAAAATCAAAGTCCTGAGAGGTGTTTGTTTAGAGTTTGAATCACACTCAAAACTACAGTAGCTTTACCAAAGAGGTCCATACTAAGCTGTATGTCGGTTATTAAAGTGGAAAACACTATGCCTTACTCATTTCATTATGTATTTAAAACCTTTCATTTCTAGCTTTCAAAATTATACCATTCTAGCATATTCTTAAAAGCCACATGTGGAAAGACTCTAGCATTCCCAGCACACCTTGTGTAGACTCCTACTGGCAAGAGTGGCTAGAAATACCCTTTAACCCAGACCCACTCTTCTTTTTATCAGATGAAATGGAAATGATGTCCCTTGAGAGGCATGGACCTGGAAGTTGCAAGAATTTTCTGCACCTGATGGATTTACAATGACACTTGGCTCCCTAGATTATATAACAGTGGAGACAGCTTTTCCTTCAGTTACATACACTGGGCATGTTACTAGACACTAAAGGTGTTTCTTCTTAATCCTTCGTTTTGGTTTGTGGTAGGAATATCACATCCAGGGCTTTGTGTATGCTTGATAAACAATCTAACACTCAGCTACATATCCAGCCTTTGTTTTGTGGAGACAAGGTCTTGCTATGAAGCCCAAGGTAGCCTTAAAGTGAGATTCCTGCTTCTGCTTCCTGAGTTCTGTGATTCCAGGTGTATACAGCACGACTAGGCTCAGCACCAAAAGGTGATTTTAATGGCTTTGGCAGTTTGTCTATGGATTCCTGAAGCCTGGGTATCCTTGAGATATGGAGGAATACAGATTTTTCCAAGATCTGAAAACTGTCATCCTTTATGGTAATGTTCAATAAGATCTCTGCCACCTAAACTTGAGTTTCCTTTGAAAATGGTTACTGTATTTCACAGGATTGGGGTTAATGGTCACAAAGTAAATGGTAATTTGCACAATACCCAGAGTTATGCGTGGGTACATGCCTTGTTCCTCAGAGGATACACTTTTAGGAAGGGGTTCCTAAAAGGAGCCAGGTGTCCTGCTGGGCTTTGTGGTGGTTAGAATCAGTCCCACCCTGAGAGGGACGCTACTAGCCATGCAATTGGCCAGCAGGCAACACTGCCCAACTTCTATTCCCTTCCTGGACCCCGGGGACTCTGTGGTCTTGGCCACATTACCTTCCTTCACTGGTCTCTGGGGAAACCGTCTAGTTTCTCTTGTAATGTGGGATATTTATGAGTGAAAAGGATCTGAAACAGTCATTCTGGGATGGGGGTGACAGGTGTAAAGAAAGCCAAAGTGAACTAGTCCAGTCTGCTCTAATGGTCTCGAAACTCATCAGTTCCACATAAGTCGTGCTGTTGCTGCAGGTGCTACTTCATGTCTTGGTCCAAACCTGCTCCTTCACTCCACTTTGCATTTCCGTAAGCAGACTGTATTTCTGTTTATAGCCCATGAGCTAACATCTGCCTTCTACCATGTGGAAAACAACATTGTCTTTAGCCCAGTTTTCCTGTGTGGCAAGGTCAGGCTTTTCCTGTTTTTAATGACTGGATAGCCCCTGATGATTAACATTAGACCAAGGGGTCTGAGGGACACAACACCCTCCTACCTATGCATATACCCCAGCCAGTATTCTCAACATAGGTCCTCAGACTCCTAGAGGTCTAACAGTTACCATAGGCTGTGACCCATGTTTTAGGAAGAGCCTAGAAACAGATTTCTCAATATCCATTAACTTGCTTAATGACTGTTTATCAACATCTAGAGCATGCCTATTTAACCTTCCACCCTTTTATGCCCAACAAAACTGAGATTCATAAAGGCACAGAAAGATGCTAAGATCGTGTACAGAAAGATCAGAGCAGCCAACATCGGTGTGCCAAATCTGCTGGCCTCCAACAGCCCTATTCCTGTTTAGAGTGTGTACAGATAAGAGATGCAAGATGACTTTACATTAGTAGGTGGCAAAGCTTGCTTTTAAAAGATGTTTTATTATTATGTTAACTTGAATTTTTAAAAAGACAAATGGCAGCTATTATTACTTGGGTTGGAAAGTGGGCACCTGGGATATGGCCATCCCTATGAAAATATTAAGGTAACTAGTAGCTCCAGCGCTCTTGAAAAGTGCTAAACCTTACTGGTTTCTAGTAGCTGCTGTGTGGCTCCAGCCTCAAGACTGCACAGAATCCCATTTCCTCGAGATTATCAGGTAGGCAACATTGTACAGTTTGAGGAAAATGTGTTAATAAATAATGATGTAAGAATTGTCACTGGGTGGCATGGCACCCATCTTTAATACCAGCACTCAGGAGGCAGAATTAGGTGGATCTCTGACTTCAAGGCCAACCTGGTCTACAAAGAGAGGTCCAGACAGCCAGAGCTGTTACACAGTGAAGCCCTGCCTTGAAAAACCAAAGAGGAACAAAAAAAGAAAGAAAAGAAAAAAATTTAGGGGTTTGGAGAGATGGCTTAATGGTTAAGAGCACTGACTGATCTTCCAAGAACCAAGTTCAATTTCCAGCACCCACATGAGAAGTAACAGCTGCCTGTAACTCCAGTTCCAGGGGACCAGACATTTATGGCAAAATACCAATGCACATAAAATGAAAATAAATAAATAAGATTTATTTTTAAAAATTTAAAAAGAATTGTCAGAGAAGACTTAGAAATCTTCTGGGGAAAGTATTTAGAACCCCAAACCTCCCATAAAAAGGTAGAAAAAAAAATGTTATATGGGAGCTTGAAATTCCTCTCTACCACAAGGAATCTTATTACAAATAGCTGGGCATGTTAGAACCAGTCCCCTGTGACATTTCTTTGATTCTGTACACCAATCCTGTCACTGCAGCTGGATAAAATGAGCTAAGTGTGCTGCTTCTAGCCAGCTTATGTACTTCAGAGGCATCTTACTGCTTCAATGAAGATGCCAGTATTCAGTTTTCCCTCTACAAAAAAATCTAACATTCATTTGCAATATGCTAATAACAGCTAGGAGCAATTCTACTTCCATTCCCTATTGCAACTTACCTGTCAAGATCCCTGTACACTTAGCCAATAGATCCTGAGTAAGTAGTATTAACCCTTTAGTTTTTATTGATGTGATTATCATATTCATCTTACTTCCTGTGGAAGGAGTTTCCTCATGCAGAAACATCAGTCTGAGTTCCATAATGGATTCAGTCTATTGCTGAAACATACTTTCTGCAGCACAGGAACCACAGGTAACACTCAAGAATGACTCTTTTCTGGGACCCAAGTAGGAAAAGTCATAGATTAACTCATTTAATCCTTACAAAGCTCCAAGAAACCGGTAATTTTCCTGTTTGAAAGATATGAGAATAATTTGGCCATGGCCAACTTAGGGGGTCTTTGCCAGTATTTCCCTCATGTTTGATGAAATGTCAGCTCACAGTTCATGTGCTGGTTCCACAATCTGCTTATACACTTACGTTCTTGGCATTTCACACACAATGTCCTCCGTGGAAACACTGGTGTACCCTGCAAGCTTTATAGCGTTACATACACACCAATGGGCTCATTAAAAATTCCCGACACCTTTTTAAAGAAAAAAGATGAAAGTTTTTTTTTAATTAGAAACAAGATTATTTTAAATGTCAATCCCAGTTCCCACTCCCTCCCCTCCTCCCCTACCACCAGCCCCTCCCAACTAAAACTCTACCTACCACATATCCTTTCTGCTCCCCAGGGAGGGGGAGGCCTTCCATAGGGGGTCAAGATGACAGGTTTTAATAAAGTTTACCTTTTATTTCTTCTAAAGACATTCTTTGGGAAATTAAAGCTCATACTCTTGGAACAAGGCTGGTAAACCTTCCCCACAAATGAAGAACGTTTGTCACATAGAGCAAAGCTGTTCCACGCCCCTCTCGGATCCTTTAACCCTACCTGTGCTTCCACTACACTCAGAATTGGCAAATCTCAGTGGCTAGAAGCCTAAACGTTCCCAGAAAGCAACGCTCTAGTCAAGGCTTTACACTTCTATTATGCAGTTCACCGACTTTATCCAGTTCACTGACGTCACAGTAAAATGTTTCCAGCCCAAACACTGCTGAACTCTCTTAAACATCTCGACAATGGAAATGTAAACTCATCCCCCAATATATTTTACTTTACAAACTGACATTCAGAAAAAGTCATCAAAATTCAATTGAAGTAAGATTTATTGAGTGCCTGCAATGCCCACAGGCCATCACTAGACATGTTGAAATTCAGGCATACAACATATCCTAGTCTTGGGTACCTGGTGATCTAATTAGTACAACACAATTTAGAAACAGATAATGAATTCCATGCCATTCCTCATTCAGAGACAACATTAAAGAGCTGTAATTCAAGTAATCCAAAGCAGCATCTAATTCTAAAGTGATCTGCAACATTTATTTGGCCTTAGAGAAAATCACTGCAGACAAGTCACAAGGATGAAAATGATTAGCAACAGAAGGGAGCGCTATAGATGATTTTTGCTTTGAATCCTCTGCTTTCTTCTTATAATGGTCCGAAGCCTCCGCAACACCAGCTTATCAGACAGGAGCATGTCATCCTGTTGTTCTAGATAATCCAGCAAATTTTCAGTCCATTCCAGTGCAGCTTTGTGGCTAATATGCTTCTCTGGATGCAGTTCCGCTTTCCTAGTCTTCCTGGAAGGCTTTTGCTCAGCAGTCACAGCCTGCTTTTCAGCACCCGCAGTATCAGCTAACACCTGACAGTTTGAGACACTACTCCGTGAGTCAAGCCACGGCTCAATATTTTCAATGTCAACGTGTTCACAGTCTTCTGTATTCTGTAAAACTGTTGCTAAGTTAGCAGCTAAAATGGCTCCTTCATCAATGCTCACACTTGAATTTTCTTCATTGCCAGGGAAAAGTTTTTTCCACGCTCTGGTTATGGTATTTGATCTTATCATGTTCCAGGCTCGTGAGGCCTCATAAATTGCATCCAACACTGTCAAATTCTTCCAAAACATTTTTGGGTCATTTCCTCCATCCATGTATTTCTGGATAAGTCCTGCTCGATAATATCTTTTGACTGTGGTTAAAACTCCTTGGCTCATAGGTTGGATTAGACTTGCCACATTTGGCGGCAAATATTTCACGACTATTCTGCCATCATCTGAGCTCAACAGGTCTTCAGCTGGGCGTGCTGCGGGGAAATCAATGAGCAGAACTGCTTTTTCTCGAAGCCCTTTGGAGTTCAGGTGCTTCTGCACCTGTGGCACAAAGCATTTCTCAAACCACTGTTTGAAAACAGACTGCTCAATCCATGCACTTTTTTGACTGAAGTAAGAGACAGGAAGGTTTGAAAGGTCAGTTCCTTTGAAAGAACGGGGTCTTTTTGCTTTCCCCACAACACAAAGATTAAGCTTATGTAAACCCGTGGCATTTGCACAACACATAATGATAATTCTCTCTCGGCTTGACCTATACTCCGAAGTACTCTGGTCAGAATCAAGAGCCAGTGTCCTCGAGGGTAGACATTTCCAGAAGAGTCCAGTTTGGTCAGCACCATAAATTTGTTCTGGGAGGAGATTTTCTCTTTCCACAAATTCCTGGAAGCTACCACAAAATTCACTAGCAGCAGTTTCGTCCCCTTTTAATTTTGTTCCTTTACCAGCAGCCTTCGGAATACCGTGACGCTGCTTAAACCGAGTGAGCCAGCCAGATGAGGCATTAAAATCACCTTCCATGCCCAGGGCATCAAAAAAGAACTTGGCTTGTTTTGCACAAAGAGTCCCAGACACTGGAATCCCATCTGTTTTCTGTTGATTAAACCACTCTATCATAACTCTATCAAGCTCTTCATATGTTGATGACTTCATAGATTTACGTTTGGACACCCCACTAGTAGGATCTGAACTATTGGCATAGTTTATAATTCTTTCTTTGTTTTTTTTAATGTCACGAACTGTGGATTCACCAATTCCATACACGACAGAAAGTTTTTTAAAAGAGTTGCCTTCTTCAAGCTTCTTAATAATGTCCAGTTTGTCTTTAATTGTCAATACCACACGCTTACGTTTCCCCAACATTTTAGTCTAATGTTTTAGAGAACTAACAACTTAGATTTGAATACAAAGAGACTACAAAACTGAGGCTTAAGAGCCCTCAGCTATTCCTTAGGACGCAGATGGTACAAGAATTTTTAAAGGAAGTCTCAATCTCTTCACTTACATTTTGGAACTTAATCAAGTACCTATGACAAAGGATCGCTCCAAATATCCCTATTTTCTCTCCTTCCTCCCTGCTCTTTTCATAAATTGAAGCCTACTGGAAGCTAGATATTGGAACTATACTGCCCTAACAAGAAATCTAAAATAGTATCACAGTGATCAACTTTTTCCATTAATGCAGGATTTTTCTTTTCTTACACCAAAGTGCAAGAAAATAGTTTTAGTCGGACTTGTAAACTTAACATACAGAATAACGGAGCAAGGAGAATCAATGCCTGACTGTTGTCTTTGTCAGGCAGCCAAGTGTGTGAATGCCCTCTTCAAGGCAAGAACTCACGTCAGTATCTATGAAAATCATAGCAACGGCGACCGGAGGTGAGCTGTCCGGAGTGCAAGTGGACAGGCAAACAATTCAGTACTTTAAGTCAACAGGGAACTTAAACCTAATGGATTTGGCAACTGAAAGGGAAACGGCGGACAGGACAAGAAGTGATGTCACATGATTCAAGAAAGGATAAAAAAAACTTCATTGGTGGAAATCAGGACCCAACGCTGAGACTAGGGGGTGGCAGGCTGGGTGAATACCATACAGTAATCCTGGTGGGCGATGATCTCCATGACCACAGAAGTAGCTGCTCAAGCCTCTGAAACCTACAGGAAAACACCAAACACGTTTTCTTTTCAGTGTCAGTCCACGGTATTACTCACACCTACCCCTGCAACTGTGTCAAGGACATCACTGTCCATCAACCTGACAGGTAACAGACAAATAACTCTCGCAGGCACCACCCGGGAGCTGAGAGCCTACCTCTTGACACTACCAGGGCCTCTCCCCGCCCCGGCCAGCGAGCTGCGAGCTG